AGATGAGTCTGCTCTTGCTTCATTGGGTACTATTAATCGTTGTACTAAACTTTAATCCTTCATTATTATTTTTTTGCCTAAACAGTAGGACACGGCATTCCTAAACTCTGATAAACCAGTTTTTTATATCTAAAGAAAATATAACTAGAAAAAATTCCACGATTGATGGCGAAAGATTTGGAAACGAACCCTGAATGGTGAAAAATAGTTTTGAGGGTAAGGTGCCTGCAAAAGCGAAGATCACGTGGTTTGGAGGGAAACTGAAACCTAGATTTCAAGTATTCTGGGGCACGTGGATCACGTATGGATAGCCAATTGAGTTTTCTGTAGTGGGAGATATGGTCGTAATTACGTAAACCGAAGATAAAGCGAATACCGCTATTGAGCAAACGATCCAGCTTAGAAAGAAGGTTTTGATTAGCAGTGTCAGAATAGCAGACGTCAGCATAGTCAAGGATAGGCAGAACGAGAGCCTGTACCAGCGAAACCTTTGTACTGGAAGGGAGAAAGAATTTTAACCTGTACAGAGCCCTAAGTGTATTAATTACTTTACGGCATACTGCTTCAACTTGATTCTCCCAGCTGAGAGTACAGTCAATGAGTAGGCCAAGATTCTTGACGCAAAAATTCAAAATTCAATATCGTTTATTCAGTCTAGGCTGTTACAAGCACTTGTGAATGTCGAAAAGCTACGCCATCGGTTCGCAAATCTACGGCGGGAGACCTTGTACTGAGAAGAACCGGCAAGAAACTCAGCAAGGGCTGTTTTTTTCTCCCTGTATTATATACAGAGTCATCAAATTGAAAAATGACTTCAATATGAGGTAACTCATAAAGTCACTTTTCATTACAAACAAAAAAAATGCAAATAATATAAAAATTATGACTATAAAATAAAAAATAAGAATATGTAAAAAAAAATGGTTTAACAAAGTTTAGGAATGACGTGTCCTACCGTTTAGGCAAAAAAATAATAATAATAATGAACGATTAAAGTTTAGAACAACGATTAATAGTACCCAGTGAATTAAGAGCAGACTCATCTCCGCTGGCAGCACCCGTTCACGAGCATGACGCATGAACCAGCCATCGCTTCGCTCAACCATTTTTTAGGGAACGCAACGACCCGCCTCACACGACACCACCGAAGAGACTTTTAAGAGAGCATGACTACTCATAACCACACATGGATACTATGTTACAAAAATAGAATATATATATATATATATATATATATATAGGTACCAGTGTACATTATCATAACAAATTATAAACACAACGGCAGGACACATGCATGTGATTACCTAAACACTGTTGTCGACTCTGGCAATACTCTCCCAACCCAAAACCAAATCCAACATCAGTCCCCTCTTTTCAGCCTGTATAGAGAATGACAGGGATACACCGCTGCAAAACCAAGTTTAGGTCTAGAAAACCATACCAGAATCCACACCGCCATTAAATCTTTATCAGAGAAATAATAAATGTTCACTTACATTTTGATTGCGGTGTCATACAGTATAAATACAAGTTGTGTAATATAAAATACAATCTAAATTTAATAATAATTATCATTACAATAATAAAGTAGTATAGAGCAGACTCATCTCCGCTGGCAGCACCCATTCACGAGCATGACGCATGAACCAGCCATCGCTTCGCTCAACCATATTTTAGGGAACGCAACGACCCGCCTCACACGACACCGCCGAAGAGATTTTTAAGAGAGCATGACTACCCATAACCACTAAAATGCATGGTTGAAATTTAATTACAGTACCTTTTTTTTTAATTACTTTTACTATCAGAGCTAGAATTTTGATACAGAGTACATGGAAGACAAACATTAAGTGGGATGACAAAGTATTGGACACACAATTCGATGAATTTAAGAAGTGGATGTTAGAGTTGAATGTCATTAAACAGTTAAGAATCCCAAGATGCTATTTTCCACCCGAGTATAATTTGGAAGAGTTTCGCATAGAATTGCCCACATTCTGTGATGCATCGCCGAGTGCATATGCCGCTGTCGCTTACTGACGAATAAATCAACCAGCTCGTGTTAATGTGTCTCTCATTGCCAGCAAGAGTAGAGTAGCGCCAGTGCGCCCAGTCTCTGTCCCTAGACTTGAACTCCAAGGTGCTTTATTGGCAAGCCACTTAGCTGCAGTTCTTCAAGAGGAGCATAGTATAGAGCCAGCTGAGCGATATTTTTGGACTGATTCCACAATAGTTTTACATTGGTTAATAAATGAAATCGAAACTATAAGATATTTATTGCGAACAGACTGGGTGAGATAGATGGCTTAACAAGAATTAAAGAATGGCATTATGTACCATCTACTTTACATATTGCAGATATTGATACTAAGATAAATTCATACAAGTTTGACGTTCATTGCAAGTGGTTCCGTGGGCCTCAGTTTCTGCAGAGCGCGTCGAACATTGATTGGCCGTGTGAATCTGAAACAGAGAACAAAGTTAATAACAATGATTTAGAGGCTATACATATAATACAAGAATCAACGTTGAGTTTACCTGAGCAGGACCCCCATAGATTTTCATCCTGGACTCGATTACTACGTAGTACGGCTACAGTTTTATTGTTTATTCGCCGATGTACAAAGTTGGAGAATAGTTGCAGAATAACCTATGAAATGCCACAAGAAGCAGAGGCTTTATTAATGCGTTACTCACAGCTCGAGTCGTTCCCTTGCGAGTGTAAGACTCTTGAGTACAAGGGAGTCATCAGCAATACTAGCAGGCTGCGTACTCTAAATGCTTTTTTAGACGACTCTGGAGTAATGAGAGTTGGAAGTCGAATTGAACTGACGAGAGATGTCAAAAGTAATGTGAAACATCCTGTAATTTTAGATGGCAAGAGTCATATTTCTCGTCATATAGTGATGCATTTTCATCGGAAAGCAGCACACGGGTGTAATGTAACTGTAGTCAACGAAATGAAGCAGTAATATTGGATCGTGAAGATACGAACTACAGTCAGATCTGTAACGGAGAAATGCTTGTTTTACCGTGTAAGAAGGGTGTACCCAAAACCTCCATTCATGTGTGACTTACCTGAGGCTCGTACGCTGCATCATCACCGACCTTTTACAGCAACTGGAGTAGACTTTTTTGGACCTTTTGAAATCACAGTTGGTCGACGCGATGAAAGGCGACGAAAAGGCGTATGCGTTATTATTTACGTGCTTGACGGTGCGAGCCGTGCATAAAGAGTTAGGTCACAGTCTTACAGCGGCTGCACTTATTATAGCTTTGAGGTGTATGGCTGCCAAGCGCGGTTGGCCCAAGAAGTTGTATTTCGCCAATGGTACAAATCTTCGCGGTGCGGACATGGAAGCTCAAGCGGTCCTTCGCGATGTGTCAAAGTGAGCTTCAGAATGGTGTTACTTCTCTTGGCGTCGAGTGGAATTTTATCTCACCTGTGAGCCCTCATATGGGTGGAACGTGGGAGCGCCTTATTCGTTCTGTTAAAACGTCACTTCGAGCTGTTTTGTAGGAGAGAGCACCGCGTGAAGAGGCGTTGCTAACATTATTGGCTAGTAAATAGCCGACCACTATCTCATGTCACAGTTGATCCGGACTACCCGGATGCTTTAACACCTAACCATTTTCTTTTAGGTTCCTCTTCTAGCCTACCGCGAGCGAGAGGCGAGCGGGATAGGCGGTTGGCCACGTGGCTCGTCTTGATCCGCCATCTTGGTTATTCAATGATATTTCCCGAAAATAAAACTGTAGTCCAGTGACCAAGCTAACGTTTAATTTGAATCTTCTTATTACTTTACAAAATCAGTTATGATTGCCAAGGTACAAACGGATTGCTTTGTGAAGCGCGGAGAGTTCTGTGATAACGTCCGTTCACTATCGCGGCTCACGTCTGAATGCTGAATCCCCTTCCAATGAAGCATAGCCCCTTAAATACTACCCTTAGCATAGACCACTCCCAAGCGATGACAGCTGTCACTGTCATTACTTGACGTTTCACAAAGCAATGGTATACCGACTGATGACATTTGTTGTCGGTTTAACGTTTCGAAGGAGCGAGTGAGACGCCATCCGCCGACATATATTACGGTGGTGACGATGACCTCTCACTACGCCGTCAGTGGCGTATTGCGCAACGACTCACCGACTTGTTTTGGGTGAGATGGATGAAGGAGGTGCTGCCTGCTATGCTACCGCGACACATACGGCATCGAGATGAGACTCTCTTGAAAATCGGCGACGTGGTGTTAATCGTGGATCCCAACTCGCCTAGAAACTGCTGGGGTTTTTGTGCAGCCCTATCCTGGGAATGACGGACGAATTCGGGTCGTCAATGTTAAAACCAAGACCGGTGTTCTAAAGAGACCATCAACACGCATTGCAGTTCTTCCAACCAGAGAAGATGAGTGCCGTGAGCGCGAGGACGGCTCTGCGCAGAGTGTTGAGAACGCAGTCCTAGACATTATCGTTGCATAGCAATACTTGTTTTCTGTCGCCAACAGTACCCAAAGGTGACAACGGAACTCATGTAACGTTTGTCCATCTTTCAGCAGGATAAAAAATTATGAAATAAAAAGGAGGTTGTGTTAAAGGAAACAACATAATCCGAGAAAATTCATTTATTTCATGAAAAACTTTCAAAATACACAAATCACCCGAGATAAATCACATTTGGAACCGTAGGTGCTCGTAGTAAAGACGCTACCCTAACTCGATCACATCTATCTATCTACGGGAGTACGGGATCCGCCGCGGGCGACGGGCGGAGGTGGGGGCGTGCGGGAGGTCGGGGGGGGGGGGGGAGGGGGTGTACACACATCAAAAAAAGTTTGCGATCACTTGCAAAAGCTGATATATTTTCAAAATTTAACTTAATCAAGAGAAAATGTTTACGTTATATCTTTTTTTATTTAAAAATAAACTCTCTGAAATTAAAAAATAAAGCTCATTTTATTTTTTTGTATAATTTTTTTTAAAATTAATGTGTTGTTTATCTAATACAAAATAACTTCTCCTCTGGCTCGAACACATGCGGAGATCCTCCTAGTACTGAGGATCAAGTTATCCAGCATTTCTTGTGGTAACCTGTCCCATTCTTGAACAGCAGCTTCCCTGAGCTGCGGCACCTTCTGGGGTGGTGGCTGCCGGTTCCAAACAGCTCGCTTAAGAGCATTCCACGCGTGCTCTATTGGGTTTAAGTCAGGAGAGCCGGCAGGCCAGTCTAACCTTGTGATTTCGTATTCTCGGAGAGCAGCATTGACTTGTTGAGGTCGATGTGCGGGCGCATTATCGCCAACCAGTACAAATTGGTGTCCATGTGTGTTACTCGGAAACGTCTGACAATTCCATCAATAGCGACTGTTTTGTATCTGTCTGCCATCATGAAGCCTGGACAAGAGATTAAAGGCGTTCTAGCCTCAATAATAATACCACCCGAAAAGGACACCGATTCCTTAGATTACCAGTAAATTCTAATATAAAAGTTTAGAATCTTATCGGAAAAATAAATTACAATAAAGTCTTATGTAACACAAAGGACAATCTATTTTTCAAAGTGATCGCAAACTTTTTTTGATATGTGTATGTATAGTACAACGCGCTAACTGCAATAATACCATATTATCCCTATTATTAATAATTGCAAAGTGAGTGCTGGCCGACAGACGAGGCCGAGCCGCACCTTCATAAGTTACCATACAGCCAGAGATCGGTGCCTATAAATTTCGTTCTACAAAACTCGATATTAGAAAAATAGAAGAGTTTAGAATATAATTATCATTCGATCTATTTACAAAAACGTATCAATCTAAAACGAAACGTACTCGACGATCCTCGCCTTGGCGTTTACTTCGCGAGACGGCACGCCGCTCCCGAAACGACGCTGGCGTGCGAAACTTCATGTTCGGATTCGGGGCGCACTCGAACGAGCTCCAGGGGGACTTCGGGGCGAAGGGAGACCCGGGGGCCGTTCGCCCAATGGAAACGCTTTGGAAAACGCTAACGCTTACGATTTCATTTTGTTATCTCTAGCCGCCTGAGGTTTTCAAACGCCTCGCGCTCTTTTTTTTTTCTTTTAGTTTTCATTAGTAATATCAATATTAAAAAAAAGGAGCGTGAGGTGTTTCAAAACCTTCGGCGGTCAGAAATAACAAAATTAATAAGAAAAGCGTTAGCGTTGTCCAAAGCATTTCCGTCAGGCGTTTGGCCCCCCGACCGGGACGACGAGTCGATCGGTGCTTCGCGGCGGGAAGGACGTCACTACGAAAATTATTGTCGAACAACGTCGGCGAACGGCGCACACTAGGGTGGGCGCGCACGCGGCGCGTCTTCATCGGGCGGCGGCGGGTCCGGGCGCGTGCGGTACCGGGCGGGGGGCGCGGAGGGCGCGGGGGGCGCGCGCGGACCCACCGGGACCAGCTCCACCGCGCGGGACCCGGTCTCGGCGCCTGCTGCCGCCGCTAACACTTCCCCGCGCTCCAGCGACCATTGCCGTCTCAGCACCCGCGCGCTGCCCGCCAAGCATCTGCAACAACACACATAGACATGATATATTTGCATTCCTGACATTGGTATTATAAAAAAAATGCTATTTCTAGATAAGGAATAAACGGCTATATGTTATGTGAACGGTGAGCACCTGTAGCGCGAGTACGAGGTGCTGTGGTCGACGGAGGGCGCGCGCGGGGCGAGAGGGGCGCGCGGCGTGTGGGGCGTGTGAGGGGGGCTGCTGTCTGCCGACACCGCGCCCGACCGCTGCCACGCTGTACAAACAGTGAGATACTTTGTTAAAAATAAATTTAAAAAAACAAAAAAACCCGACTGCTTAATTATACTTCAAATAAAAACTGAAAAGAAAAAAACAAGTCCAGTAGTCTATAATTCTGTTAATAATGAACAAAGCTACTTTAACAGTCGGGACCCATTAGATATTCAAGAATACATAATATTTTTCAACAGTGGGTCCCGACTGTTAAAGTAGCTTTGTTCCTTATTAACAGAATTATAGACTACTGGACTTGTTTTTTTCTTTTCAGTTTTTATTTGAAGTATAATTAAGCAGTCGGGTTTTTTAATTCTTTAAAGGACAATGGCGAAATATTTGTTGAAGTAAATCTATAGCGTCTATAGATGTCATTATCAGAAATGTTAATAAAATAATCTCAAAAGATTTATTAAGCAATTGAGGAGGGTTGTCTAAGTCTGGAATTAAAAACTTAAAAAAAGGGAAACACAATTGACTATTTATTTTTATTGTGGCTTGGCCATGATGGCTTTTGAGCCATTCATTTTAAGTGATTTTAGTGATGAAATCAACTTTAAATATGTTGTTCGTATGTTTTGCATCGCTTTACGCTTGAACTGTATTTAATTATCTATCAAAAATATCGGGAAACATTATTTTCAATGTTGTACTGAAACCATATTAAATAATCTCCACAATACAAAAAGTGTATGGCGACAATTCTAACGAAAAAAAACTATAACTGTCACTGTCATGCTTGTCATCGAATTGTTGTTGTTATTGTTAGCATTAAATAACGTTGTTTGTGCTTAGGTGCATGCATATTGCAAAGATTTCAATCGGCGTATTGTGTTTTTCTAAGATTTGTTTTTTTATGTGACTTGGACTGTATTTGGACTTTCGAAATCTTTCTCTGCGACTGTTGAGTAATGCTTGCCTAAGACTTCCGAATCTGATATTTTGCTGTGGATTTTGGACACGATTCTGTCCCATACTGTGGATTTTATTTCATTGTATCTACTATCTACGACATTGTGATCAACGATGTGGAATAAAAAATATATAAAAAGTGTTGCATATTTAATTAGTAAATTATTAGAAATCTTTTTTTATACTTTATTATTGCAGTGGGCATTTTCAAATTGTTAAGTACTTCTTACAGCATAGACATTGTATTTGAACTCAATAACTCTTGTCTGATAATAAGTATTTTGACGCGGTTGGTCAGTACCTACGCCAAAGAAAGAAAGAAAGAAAGCCAACTGATCATACATTGTAAAAAACATATTTTTTTCGTCACAAATCTTCAGGACCGTTGTACTTCTATAGTTCCGTTCCACGTATTTTTTATTTTGATATTAAAATACTCTTGAAACAAACTTTTATAATTCGTTTTTGCATTACTTGGTAGGACATAACCTCCAAAACTTCAAAGTAGAATATCTATAAATCCTGACTTCCTTTAATATAAGAAATAAGATGAATCAAATCAAGAATGTAAACTCTATAATTTAACATGCAATTCATTTATAGACGCAAGAAAAAATTTCAACAAAAAATTGTATGGGAGTTCGCCACTGTCCTTTACCTTTTTTATTTCACACTTTTTAGTTAGTTAGTATTTTAAGACGGTATATAGTCTTTGTTACTTCAGTATGGGAATTAATATCGCGGGAATTATTAAGTACCTGGCGTCGTTCTAAAAGATTGATTTATTAAGACATATAAAGACTTTACCAGCGGAGTCAAGGCTACAGATGGGCCTCAATTTTCGCAAAAATGTGTCAAGTTAAATGAAGTCGTTACATAAATATCTCTTATGTATGTAAATTTTATAGTAAACAAGCACTTACTCAAAAAGTCATCTTATGTTTATGTTTTTTTTAATAGTTTAGCAGTAAATATAAAATTCATTTACTTTTATTCGTCGACTATTTAAAATTGGCAGTGGCTGCATTGTCATGTCAATGCCGGACGTCTAAGATTGTGATATACACAAATTCAGTGTCAGTCCCTAGTCTCATAATTTGATAAACCTACATAATTTACAGAAACCTAATATGTAGATGCCAGAAGTTAACTTCAAATGTTTGTAATCATCCTATATACAATACCAATCAATGACGTTTATGTCGCAGGTTGAAGAAAGCAGTAATTCCCGTTTGTTGTTTTGGACAATGGTGGCATCACTAAATTAAATAATTATGCAATCACCAAAGCAAAGTTTATAATATTTGATTAAACTAAAGGCGCATAATAAAATTTTCATAAAGTTAGGTAGAGCACCATAGCAATCTCATTTATTATCAATTTATAGTTCTCTTTGTAGTTTTCTTTTAAAGCGTTCACATTTAACAGGTCAAAGACTTTGTGTTCGACCCTTTTTTATTGGTAGTGTAAAGCTCAAATGAAGAGTACTCCCAGTAGTGCAATCATGACAATTATTTTCCAATTTTTTTTTGTTTAAAAAAATATCGAATTACTTATCACTGTTAAGCACAAATGCTAAGTAACTTTTACAAATATAATCAAATAAACCTATTAATTACTTTATTTTTAAATCTTTTTCATCAATTAAATACTTATCTTATCCTAACTATCTATACTAATATTATAAAGAAGCAAGATTTGTATGTTTGTAACAAATAATCTGTCAAACTACTGAACCGGTTTCAAATATTAATTCATCATAAGGTAGCTACGTTATTTAATATAACATTTTTCTTTATTTAAATACATTTTGTCCGAGTAGGCTATATTTTATCCCGATAATAAATTTCGCCCGTACAATGCCCGGGTGGATCACTAGTAAGTATAATATAATATTATAGATGCGAAAGTGAGTTTGTTTGTTGCGCTTCCATGCCCTAATAGCTAAATCGAATATAATGAATTCCAATATGAAGTAGATGGGAACTTGGTTCTTAACTAAAACATCGCAATACTTATAGGCGTAGGGTGATGAAAGGGGTGATTTACCTATAAAAATCTACATTATTTGATACAAGGAACTGTATCACAGTTTTATTGTTAGTACTTCGTATAGGATCAGATACTGCGAATACCCCATTTTTTTTTCTTTTACATAGTACACCGCGCTATCACTTTGTCATCGTTGTAACTTTTTAAATATTTGTCGAAATGACATAGTGTAAAAAGCAAAGTTTATCGTCTTTAAATATCAAAAGCGATAAAAGTATTTGTTTGGATAAAAAATGATTTGTTAATACAAAATGTGCATTTTGGAAATAGATATCAAATAATATTTTAGTTTTGATTCACTATTTTAGCGGTAATGACTTACACATTAAAAATAGATATATGGTGTTACGGACTTTTTTTTAGAACTATTTAAGAGTTACATTTTCACTCTACATTACATTCATGTAACTTTTATTGTTTTTACAGTGCAGGCCAAAATGGCTCGCAGATGGAAGATTTTTTTCCGTCTTATGTGACACTTATTGTTATGTATTGGCCAATTCACTCAATAACTACATAAATTATTATATATATGTAATTATCATATATGAGCTATATTACTGTTAAGCTTCATTAAAATCCATTCAGTATTTTTTAGGTGAAAGAGTAACGAAGATCCATACAAACGTAAGATTGAAATTAAAAGCGTAAGTGGTTAATATACAACTTTAAAGCATTGTAGATCCTAAACAATCATATAAAATGAAAAATGGTGTTAGGAACTTAAATATGATTTTTAATTATCTAGACAGTGATACCCCACTCGTCATATTTTGTCAACTTATTTTTTTTACTTCGTCACAATATGGCGCCTAATGTTGCCCATATTGAATTATGATTACGATCATATCTTTAGTAGCACTCCCATGATTGAGACGAATCGATTGATGTATGAATCATCAAAATCGGTCCAGGCGTTTGGTCTCTAGTGTGCCACAAAGGAACAAACATACATATATAGACTTAAACACATAATCATGTCTGCGCGTCGCGCTTCGCGCTCTTGCATTGCGCAGTCGGGTAATAATCTTTTAGCGCTCGGTAATTAAGAAGCGAAAATTTGTAAATTTTTTGATATCTGAAGTCAAAATATAGATCACGTACATTTCCAATTTCGTACGTTATTTATTTATAAAATTTCTGCCCTATAAAAGACTGTTACAAGTTTTTTAAAAAGAACAATGATTATATTAACTTAAAAAGTAATTTAGTACAATTTCCTCCTTTTCATTCTTAATAGAAAATGTCAAGGATTCACTATTGTCAAATTTGAGTTAAGAGAATCATGCCATTTTAGCGACAAAAAGATAATGACTGAGCTAGTGCTATTATTCTTATGTACCGTATTTATCTGGAGCCGAGGAGGGATCGGAACGCTGCCGCTCGATGGCCTGCGTGTTGCGCGGGGCGGGGGGCAGCTGCGGCGGCGGGAGCGACGGCGGCGGCGACGACGCGCCCGCCAGCGACGATGGCTCGCTGTCATTCTCGCACTCCGTCTCGAACAATACCTCCTCTGACCTGTTCGATTGATTAAATATTGAAATGAAATGAAAAGTCATTTATTCAGTCTAGGCTGTTACAAGCACTTGTGAAGGTCAAGAAGCTACGCCATCGGTTCGCAAAACTACGGCGGGAGACCTTGTACTGAGAAGAACCGGCAAGAAACTCAGCAAGGGCTGCTTTTTTCTCCCTGTATTGATATGTACAGAGTCGTCAGGTTGAAAAATGACTTCAGAGTTACTTCTGAAGTCACCTTCCATTACATTATTTAGGATATAGATATATAGTTACAATAAATTTTATATTTAGTATATAGGAAGCGGCATTAGATAGGTGCCATATTGCTGTTACAAAAACTGACTCATACCCATCAAATAACAAATTACAAGAAACACTATGTCCATGCATTTCGATCATTTAGATAATCATTAACTTTATAATAGCCCTTATTCATAAGAGTATTCTTAATCTGAGATTTAAATTTGGTTAGTGGAAGCTCAATCAGATCTTGGGGAACTTTGTTAAACAATGCAATACTACATCCCAGAAATGAACCTCTTGATTTTTGGAGTCTGAAACATGGAACGGCAAGCTAATTCTTAAAGCTCGTGTTAAAGTTATGGGTTTGACTTTTTTTTGCAAATGCGTCATAGTTTTTTTTTACATATACTAAATTTTCATAAATGTATTGCGATGCCAGTGTTAAAATATTAATTTCTTTAAAATTTTCTCTAAGAGATTCTCTTGCCTTTAAATTATATATGGCGCGAACAGCTCTCTTTTGCAGAACTCTCCTCCGTATTTTAACAGAGTTAGTGCTAGGCCGCACTACGGCGAAACCGCCGCGGTTTTATACCGCGTAGTTTTGTGAATCATGGAAACTAATGCAAGCGGCCGCACCAGCGGTTTTTTCCCGCGACTGATTTTAAAACCGTGATTTGTTACAGAATGGCTCGCGAGTAAAAACCGCGTCAAAATTTGTAGTCTATACAATATGTATTGACGCGCACACATTGATGCGGTAACCGCGGGCAACAATATAAGAAAGCAACAATACATACAGCTCTCTTGAAATCCATCGTCAAACTGTGATAAATCGTGTCTAGTTTCGCGGTTTTTAATCGTAGCGTGTGTGCTTCGGGCGGTTTCGCGGTTTTGCGGTTTACCGCTTGCGGGAAAAAACCGTAGTGCGGCCTAGCACTACGGTTTTTTCTATATTGTCTTTAGGTATATCTAATCTTAATATGTATGATTGTAAAAAAAAATCTACTTACTTGGTTAAAAACTAAAAACTATAATGACACTGAAAACTTGCTTCAAAATTTATAATAATCGATCACACACACGCACCCACACACAAACACACACACACACACACACACACACACGCACACTCACTCACTCACACCCACACACAAACTCAGACAACAGATATATTGATTACATTAGACTAAACAAATAACGTGTCGTTATATATTTGTAACCAATATGGTATTAAGTTTGGAAGAGTTGTGGAAGAGCGAGAGTTCCCGACACAGGCAAATAAATTGTTTACTAGGGGCTTTCAAATATTGTAACACTAGCATAATATTGGTTATAGACATAAAGTATTTTCAAAAGTATTTTTCAAAGCACTCAGGTGTACCAATAGATGTAAAGTACTGACTCGAGCGGCGGCGGCGTGGGCAGCGGCTTGTCGAAGCCGTCCTTGCCGAGCAGCCAGTAGGTGTGCATGGCGCCCTTGCCCTTGACCTGCGTGAGCCCGCGCGAGCGCAGCCGGTACCCGCCCGCCGCCGACAGCCGCTCCGCCGTCGCCGCCGACACCTGGATGCGCCACGCCGCGCCTACAATACACAGACACATGTCCATTCTGGCGACATTCTCTCCTTTTCGTTTGTATAGAGGATGACCCTGGAAGTGCTCCTGGTGACAGGAAAAGTACAGGGAAGGCGACCGAGAGGAAGAAGCCCCATGCGCTGGACAGACCAGATCCGCGACAATACTAAAACTGGAGTCCGCGATGCACTCCACACTGCTGAAGACCGCAACAAGTGGAAAGCGATCGTCCACAAAATAATTCGTGGAGGTCACGACCCTCAGCAATGAGGAGCACGACACAAGTAGGAGGAGAGGATGACAACGATACAGTGTTGTCAAATTTAAGTTTAGGTTGAGAGAATCGTGCCCGTATCGACACCATTATCGCTACCCTACTATTGCTCCAACGCGACATACGTATCATTAATATTGAAGTATTTATCCACTTATAGTGTCGTCTTTTTCACCATCATAGCCTGATAATGCTGGAGCATTTTCTGTGGTTGGAATGGAGAGATTGAAACATGACCTCGCACGCGGGGCCAGTGCAGATCGATGGGTGTTAATGACTTCGAGGGGACCGACGACTAAACTTAACATGCCTTCTGCAGCACGAAGGAGTTCGGTAATAAATTTTTGGCTATCCATTTATTGATCAAAAATTTGCAAAAGTAGCACGCTTAAGCACCGAGCTATCGTACTCCAAATTTCTCGCCTTTATACTTGTCTCGAAAGCGATAAATTGCGTGAAAGAAAATACACATTTTGGTTTATGACTGTTATGACGATGTGAGCACAGATGATACCATGAACAAAGCGGAAATACACTGGACGAGAACAGCACAAGACCGCGCTAGACGGCATGCCCTGCTCACATTCAGCATTGGATGGGTCCGGGCCAAGAAGCAGAAGCACATCATCATCATCAGCCTATTAATGTATCCACTGCTGGGGCACAGGCCTTCCCTATGGATGGAATAGGGAGATTGGGCCATGATCCACTACGCTGGCCCAGTGCGGATTGGTGGGTGCAAACGACTGCAGATGCAGCCGGGACCGACGGCTTAACGTACCTTCCGAAGCACGGAGGAGCTCGAGATAGTAAATTTTTGGTCACCCATCCAACGACCGACCACTGCGAAAGTTGCTTAACTTTAACGATCGTAGCCGAACGCGCTAACCACCGGCGCCATCGAGCTCCTCGAAGAAGAAGAAGAACAAACAGCGGAAGCGCAAACCGGTGGATTCCATGCGCGAGGCGGTGTTGACGGTGTCGCCGAAGAGGCAGTAGCGCGGCATGGTGAGGCCGACGACGGCGGCGCAGCAGGGCCCGGTGTGCAGGCCGATGCGCAGGTGTAGCGGCGTGGCGGGCAGGTGCCGCACGCGGAAGCGGCCGGCCAGGTGCAGCAGGTGCAGCGCCATCGTGGCCACGCTCTCCGCGTGCTCGCGCGTGCGCGCCGGCAGCCCGCCCACCACCATGTACGCGTCGCCGATGGTCTCCACCTTGTACACGCGGTACTGTTCGATCGCCGCGTCGAACGTTGTGTACAGGTCGTTCAGCAAGTCCACCACCTGTTAGTCCCAGATTGTCAAATTTTAAAACAGTATTGGGCCAAATTCTGGCGTGATTCTCTAAACTTAAAACTAAATTTAACATCAATCTCTCCTTTTCATTCTGCATAGAGAATGACAAGGATATACTGCTGTCAAATTTAAGTTTAGGTTTAGAGATTCATGCTAGAATCGACACCATTGACTTGTATTCTCGATCTTATTGCGGACGATCCGATTCCTTAACCTGTGGAGCTCTGGAAACATCACTATCCTACGAGTTTTTTGTATTTAATTCCATATTACAGCTGCTATTTTGCTGAGATTAAAATACTTTTGTAACTTTACTTTTGCAGTCCGTAGATGAATTACCCAAATGTTGATTGCTTCACGTTCCACAATGTTTTGCAATGTATGACACGCGATTGGTCTAGTCTGCATTCGTTTAGTTAGCACCCACCAGCTGTTGTGGTCTGGACGCAAATGGTGTAGGTACAGATCGCGGCACTTAACTCTAGCACTGAACTTCACGCTGAGGGATAGCTGCGCCTGGAGAGCCATTCGGCACAACGCACGCCCACCCGCGCACCTCGTTTCCACCCAACACATCTTAATTTTTACTTTTGCGCAATAACGGTCAGCGCTAGAGTTTCGTGCCGCGACTTATACACTCATTACGTAGAACAGTTATTCCCAAAGTGGTCTATATCGACACTTAGGGGTCTATGACAACCTGCAAGGGGTCTACGTCAGCGAAAAAAAGCAATATCAGGTAAGTAGGGGGTGCCACGACTACATCCGCACTCTCGACACGCATTGGGAGGACTAAGGTCCTCTGAATGCGTGTCGGGTGACCGGTGCAGGGGTATTGTCTGGTTTTTAGTGGCCCTGTTCAGGGCGTAGGTAGTGCCCTGCACATTTCATCGAGGCCGAGGGCTGGATGAAATGAACAGGGAGGAGTCCCACATACTTTCCTCTCGCTCCCCCGGTGGTTGAAGGATGCATAAAAGCATTTTCCAGACAAAAAAAAAGGGGGTCTACCCAACACGGAAAAACATGGCAAGGGATCTACGACACAAAAAAGTTTGGGGAAATCTGATGTAGAAGATGACAGGCAGGCACCTGCACGGGCGTGGAGCGCGCGGCGAGTGCGGTGAAGCCGACGATGTCGCTGAAGTAGATGGACACCTCCTCGAACTCCTCCGGCTCCACGCGCGACCCCAGCATCAGCCGCTCCGCCACTGACCTGCGTCATACCCATTATGAAATTACTGATTCAATATAAGATATTACGGAAGTTCCAGAAAATTAGTTCAGCTTATTTATAGTCCTGGTAAAGAACACCACCTCGCCTGACGTTGGTTGAAACTAAAGTCCGAATGCTATAATAACAGAAGCGGGCTATACCAGCTACCTTCAATTTACTAACCTGAACTACATTCGCTGTAGGAACTCAAAAGCGCATCTCAAAATGGCAAAGGCTAATAGTATCGATGGTTTCATCATCATCATCATCATCAGCCTATTAATGTCCCCACTGCTGGGGCACAGGCCTTCGCTATGGATGGAATAGGGAGATTGGGCCATGACCCACCTCGCTGACCCAGTGCGGATTGGTGGGTGCTAACGACTGCAGATGCAGCCGGGACCAACGGCTTAACGTGCCTTCCGAAGCACGGAGGAGCTCGAGAATCGAGAATTTTTGGTCACCCATCCAATGACCGACCACTGCGAAAGTTGCTTAACTTCAACGATCGCAGCCGAACGCGCTAACCACTTGCGCTGTCGAGCTCCTCGATGGTTTAAGATGTGGTTTATACTCATAAATGATTCTTTTCTACACAAAAAGTTTTTTTGGTTGCAAGGCAATCAGAATCAGTTATTGTCGCCGTGTCTTTGCGTTTTGTATAAACATAAAACCTGCGTTGATGACCAGGTAGAAGTTGAGTTCATCACAGTATCTTAATTTTCAAAGCATTCGTATTTACCTGGGGAGCATTCTGTTAAGAAGTTGCTCAGTCTTCTTCTTCTCCATATCGAGTTGCTCAGTCCTCTCTCGAATCAGTTCCTCTAAATTATTGCTATATTTCTCGAGCATCTCGAACATTGAATCGACAATGTTGATTTTACTGGAAAATAGAGAATAATTAAGTAAATACCAACATAATATTGCCTGTATATTCATCAACATCGTCAGCCTATTAATGTCCCCACTGCTGGGGCACAGGCCTTCCCTATGGATGGAATAGGGAGATTGGGCCATGACCCACCACGCGGGCCCAGTGCGGATTGGCGGGTGCTAACGACTGCAGATGCAGCCGGGACCAACGGCTTAACGTGCCTTCCGAAGCACGGAGGAACTCAAGATAGTAAATTTTTGGTCACCCATCCAATGACTGACCAATGCGAAAGTTGCTTAACTTCAACGATCGCAGCCGAAAGCGCTAACCACTTGCGCTATCGAGCTCCTCATATTGCGTCTTTGTATTGTTTCAAATCAAAGTAGCAAACATTTATATTTTTATGTTTTTTAAGAATTTAACTGCTAGATGTTTAAATCGAAAGAAAATCTTACTAGAAAAAAATCCACGCGGTCCAGACCGAGGGGTATAACAATAATTGCTATTTTTTCTTTCAAATGATTAAAACTTGTTAATATATTTTGTTATATTGTGGGTTACCTACAATGCGAAGAGATGGCGTAGCCTTGCAGCTTAAGAAACACTAGAGAAAATTAGACACGGCCATCAGGGCCATGATAGCATAATGGTCAGTGCATTTCCCAAGGTAGCGAAGGGAGCGGCTTCGAGTTCAGTCTGCTGCCTGGACTGTGTGGAATTTAGTGTACAAGGAACGTTAACATATGTACTTGATAAGTTTTGCTGTGTGCCATTTGTCAGATATCAGCCGGCACGGGTACGTTTTACTCCCTTTACTTACAATCTGAAGATTGATTCTTAGGTATGTTGTAGAGAATATTGTGAACAACTTGAAAGTATTATAGCTATTAACGGGATTGTTACCATGTACCTTGTTTTTTATGAGTCTCCGATATTTTAGCACTGTTGCAAGCGCCATGATCACGGAGTAACTGAAGTAATTGCGGGTAGATGTTATTGGCAGACATATCGGTCTACCCTCTGACGTCGTCTTTTACTGCGCTCGATACCCGTACCACTGGTCACATTCTCACTATTCACTCGCACTTGTTCCCGACACACAATACTGGTACGGGTATCGAGCGCAGTAAAAGACGACGTCAGAGGGTAGACCGATATGTCTGCCAATAACATCTACCCGCAATTACTTCAGTTACTCCGTGATCATGGCGCTTGCAACAGTGCCGAAATATCGCAGACTCATAAAAAACAAGGTACATGGTAACAATCCCGTTAATAGCTGTAATGTTAATGACCATGAAAGTTTAAAACAACTTGAAAGTAATACTTAAGAGTACACGCTGACGGCCTGTCCATAGACACCTCGTATACTCACCGGCCTCGGTGTAGGTGTCGGAATATATCGTGCAGGCGCTGGAAGTCGGGACGCAGGTCGGGCAGCTCGCTCCAGCACTGCCGCATCACGCTGACTGCCTCCGGCGGCGCCGCACCCATCGACACCGACGGACGGATAAGCGGCGGCGGGTGCGACACCTTCTCTACTATTTCTATTTCAATATAAGATATTATGTTAGTTCCAAAAAATGTTTCTAGCTGCTTGCAGTTTTGTACAAATCAGCCATGATAATGACTGCATCTCAACAACTGGTTTTCGTAAGTAAATCCGAATGCAAAAATAACAGAACAGTAACAATAAACGCTGGACCAGCTATCCTCACTTTTGCGGCCGGAACTACATTCACTGTATGAACACAATACTGTAGAATAATACTATTGAGTGTCAAGGAATAAATAGTCTACATAGTAGTAGTATAACATAGTTGTTATGTTTTATTCCCAATTTTTAGAAAATTATAATATTGAACCATGACAAGGCAAGAGGAGGGGAAGTATTTGACACTACCATTTCAGTTTTCTAATGCATCACGTGTTCGTAAAAACACAGGGCATGAATTATGATTCCATTGTTTATTGATTGAAGTCTCATTGCACTGTATGATTTTTTATTTTTTTAATCACACCAATTAGCTTAGCCCCAAGCTAAGCATATAAGGCTTGCGTTATGGGATACTAGGGTAACGGATAGAATACATATACTGTACATATAAAAGTATATTTATATAGAAATATATATTAAACATCCATGACTGGAGTACAAATGCTCGTATTCATCACACAAACATCTGCCCCCACCGGGATTCGAACCCGGGACCTCACGAGTCAGCGACACCATGAAACCCGGCGTACAAACCACTCGGCCAAGGAGGTCGTCAATGATTCATATGATTGTTTCTGTTTTATCGCTAGAAGCAGCTGGTTACCGTCGGGAGTGAGAGACAGCATGCAGAAGGGCTCGCCGCGCACGATCACCTCCTGCATGATGATGGCGAAAGAGTACACATCTCCGGGCTGCGAGCCGCGGCCCGCGCCCCTCGACTCTCGCAGCAGTTCCGGCGCCGTCCACAGTAACTCTGCACTCACATACAGCAATATCATTAGATAAAACTAGATTATATATATTTATTTTATTGATTAAAATTTTATTCTGACGATGTAGCCTGTAAAAGCTACGAAACGTCAATAAATAAATAAAGTTTCGTGCATTAATCCGTAAAAAACTAGTTTTATTTAATGAGTGATGTGCGTGAAAACCTAAGAAACAAATACAATATCATTAGGCTATAGCCTAATGGCATTGTATATAATGCGATTCAACTAAGAATAGGACTGACTGAGCGCCATATTTTGACGTCATAGCTGTCAATTCAAACCAAATAGGTAGAGTGAGCAAAAAAATGTTACTATTTAGTAAGACTTGTTTACTAAGATTAAGTGAGACAAAACATCAGATTTTTTAATTAATTTAATTTACTAAGGTTGAGAAAGAACACAACCGATTTTTAATAGTATTTCTTTATTAAGACTGTGTGAAAAAAAAAGGTTTTCAGAATCTAGCTCTTCAATTTCGCTCATCTCTGCATTACCGCAGGAGAAGTTGTGAATAATCGTGCAGGTCACATACTAACCTGCATCCTATATGTAAATGAAAGTTTTGAATCGAGTTTTTGAACGCAACATAAAGTGACATTTGGTTGACGATTTAGGTTATCAACCATTCATAGCCAAAGCTCAATAAAAGAAAAAAAAAAACAACTAATATTAATTATCAACATTTGTTATTGTTTGTTTAAAAATGTTTGGTTTATATTCTAGAATCAGCTGAGTGCTAAAAAAGTGTTCCGAGATTTTTTTGCAAACCGTATTTTTCAAGCCGAATTTGACAGATGGAGGTCATTGGCTTTCCTATTCTTATTTGAATCGCATTATACTCGTATTTCTATATGTGGTCTCTTTCCGTATCTTTGTTTTACTTGGTTAATCACTAAATAAAATGTCTTTGGTTACGTTACAATGGTATAACTCTGTATCTATTATTGAAGGGCTTTTTTATTACAAAGACATTCAAGTTTGTTGTCCTGTCATGTGTGAAGCTTTTTGGAGTTTACTCCTTAAGAATCGATTTGCATATATAAGGGGCCCGGTATGAGAAAAATGTGAGGAGTGAAATCTATCGATTAATGACCTCGTACGCTGTAGCAGCCGTAGTGCTACACCGTAGCACAGTATTAGTAAAATATTTCGTCGATTAGTTATAATAAATGTATATGATATGAATAAATATATATTTATATATGTATATTATTTTCATGAATTTGTTAATTTACCCTTTAGTATCAAATCTTTTTTAAGTTAAACAAACTCTTTTTGCGTCTGGTTAGACTATCGAACTTAAGGAGTAAACTCCAGTCGCGCGTCGGAGCTGACACACACACATTTTTTTTTAATTTCACATAATATAAATGTCCAGGTGTCAGGGCGTATACCTCTGGAAGACCTTTCGGGTGTAGGCAGTCCCTGCGCACGGTAGAACGACGGCAGTCCGTAGTCGGTGACGCGCAGCACCCAGCGAGAGTCGACGACGCAGTTGCGCGAGGTGAGGCGGCCGTGCACGCGCAGCGGCGACGCGTGGAGGTAGCGCATGCCCTTTACCAGGTCTGTCAGTAGTGACAGCCGAAACGTCCAGTCCAGCTTGATCTCGTCCGCCATGAGCACGTCCTCCAGAGAGCCGCGCCCGCAGTGGTCGAACACCAGAGCGGGACGCGCCTCGCACAGGCAACCTGTACAAGATAACAGTTACAATATCTTTAGTGCCAATGAAATGTAATAAACAAAACGTAGACGTACGAGATAAATATGCAGCAGCCCGTAAGAGTTAAAAAAAAATGGTTGCCTGTAAAGTCGGTTTTACGGGCGAAGATTTTACGTGACAACGTCTTTTTCTCGGTAGAATATTTATTGATATGAATATAATTAAATTGCACAATAGGAACAAGGAATTGAATGAAAATAAGAATTGCACAAATTTTAACTATAGAAATATATTTTGTTTACTAAAACATTGTACATGTAAACTTAAACTCATCGTAACGTTACCGAGCGTTACACTTTTTCATAAGTGACTCCCAGCCGCAACCTAATTTAAGACGTTGTCACGTCAAAATGGATGCGTGAAACTTATGTACGCGCGTGAGAAGTTATACTTCTTTAGCATCATTAAAAATATTTTTTAATTGCATGCAAATAATTAATAATTACAATAAAATAATAAAAGGACTGGAAAAGGATAGTTAACACAGTCAAGTCAAGTCTTACACAATCAATGATAATCAGCGGGCTTATTCGACAAGGGATCATCCATAAACTACGTCACACGAATTTCATGATTTTTTGCCCCTCCCCCCGTCCTTGTCACAGCTGGTCACATTTATGAGACTCCCCCCCTCCCTAGTGTGACGTCACATATTTTGCAAAATTTAGAAATTATTGAATGTAAACAGCGGATCTGAAATTAGTTTTATTTTCATTCAAATTTGTTTTTTAATAATATTAACATCAAATCCAACAATTTAACAAAACAAATATGAATAGCATTATGATTACATTAAAGATACAAACTTAATTATCTTGAGTCCATAGACATTGAGCCCGCTTCTTTAAATTATTTATAACAGGCATAGCACCACTTTGTTCTCGTTTGGGTTGTTTATGTTTTCGTAAAGTTATAGTTTCAACATTTCGATTATAATAGATTTTTAAATGTGACGTCACGAAATTTAGGACCCCTCCCGGCTCCTTGTCACACGATGTCACACTCCATCGACCCCCTCCCTCCCCCTTAACGTGTGACGTAATTAATGGATGGCCCCCAATGAGAGTCTGACTCCGCACTTGGTCTCTTTCATTAGGTACAGATTTACACAAGACAAAAACTGAAGCGGGTGTTGTATGTGAATGTGTTACTTTTCATAATGGGGATGGATCTAACCGAATCTATCTTTAAAACTGAGTCTTTTACTCCGAACAAAAAGAACAACAAGAAAGACTGTCGGCATTCCATAACATGATTGAAACAAAGATAATTTGGAGCAATATCTGCATTTCGTGATATCCGGTCGTGTTTTCAGCAAAATGAAAAGAGAAAGGCCAACGTTATTTACGTAGCAATAACTCAGAAAACTTGTAATATAGTTCATAGATAGCGGGCAGTCACGCCACGAGCGGCCCGTCGCCGCAGTAGCCGCCACTCCTGCCCGCGGTCATCCTATCTATTACTCATGCGTGATTTATGGTGTCTTGACCTTGATGTTACGGCTTTGCTTTATTTTTTCTAATCCTCCAAAAGGTTTAAGTGTAAGCGAATAGGTTACACCACTAATGTGATGTATTTTATTTTTAGGCAAAAATATGTTTTATCTCCAATATTAACGATAATTAAAATTTAATCGGAATCTAAAGAAAATTTCAATAGAAAATGTTCAACTCGGGGAGACGGAGTTCAAACCCGAATTTGTTTTGCTATTGTCTTGATATTGCTTTTCTTCATATAATAACATCTAGTAATTTAATGCTTACAATAAAAATATAATAATCTAAAATTCATTTATATTTTCTATTGATTCTTTGTTCTCCTTTATATATGTTTTTTTTGTTTAAAAAAAGAAATCCTAATGATCGGGCTGGAGTAAATTTTTCAAAAATTTGATATGTCACTGACGACTTCATTTCTCTAGCCTTAACACTTGTTAATTTTAAAAGTAAGTTGGAGACTAATATTGATCCAGATGTATAATTAAGAAAGTTAACAACTTTCGTAAAATGTTCATTAATCGATAGTACATTTTCGTTCTAATGATAGTGTCTATTGCTTCGGAAATCAAAATTGTAAGCCGTTTATCCCTTTCACCTGTCGTTTATACCCACCTACCTACACTGGACCTGTGTCAGAATATGTTAGAACCTACCTAGTGGCTGCGTGAAATAACTCAAAAATCACACTTGACGGAGTGGAAAACAGGTGAAGGATGCCGGCAAAAGAAAAACGCGGTTCCGGCGGCAAATAAAAGTTTTGCCCGCACCCTTACCAGACTAAATAGGGACATACTTCGCAGGATTATAGGATCCCTGACTGGTCATTGTCCCCTAAACAAACACCTATATACAATAGGAGTAACGAACAGCCCCCCATGCAGAGGATGCATGGAGGCAGAAGAAACGCCACAGCATGTCATCATGGAATGCAGGAGTGTGGCCGACCAACGTGCACGACTTCTCCAGTCACCAGAATCGTTTTCGGAAGCTTGCAGCAGTCTACCAAGGTTGCTTTCCTTCTGGACCGATATAGGCTGGCTGGAGTAAACGGGAATGTTATTGAGACACGCACAATGGTCCAATAATTAGGACTAAGTGCGGAAACCGCCCTGAAGAACTAGAACTAGATGTTAGAACCTATACATTTAAATGAGGAGCTCGATTGTGCAAGTGGTTAGAGCGTTCGGTTGCGATCATTGAAGTTCGGCAACTTGCGCAGTGGTCGGTCTTTGGATGGGTGACAAAAAATGTTCTATCTGGAGCTTCTCTGTGCTTCGGAAAGCACGTTAAACCTTTCGTCCCGGATGTATCTGCAGTCGTTAGCATCCACCAATCCACACTGGACACACGTTTTGAGTTATGGCCCCAGCAGGGGGGACATTAATAGGCTGATGATGACGATGAGCAGGCCAGCGGTCGTAATACTAGAAATAGCTAACCGATGAAAGGATTGAGGTTCTCGTGCCGCAGCGACTGCAGCACTAGCACCACGTCAGTTGCCTTCCGTTTCAGCTCGAGCGCGCTCGCCGACGGCAGGTACTTCATAAACACCGCGTCACCCTGCAGAAAAATGTCAACAACCATCATCTGACCCGAAAATAACTCAAAGATCTTTGCTGAAAATAACGCTTTTTTACAAAACAAAATTCAACTTCATAAACATTAAATGAAGGTACCCAGTATTGACATTTTCAACGATTCTACTCGAGTTTTCAGAAACAAACTATTGCATCACTTTTAGCCTCCAGTATGTATTCGACGTAGTTAACAGTTTTTTTTTGTGTGTTCTTGATAAAAATAAAACTAATTAATCAATAATAGCAGTATTTGTTAAAGATAATGTTCCTGTTCTCCTTTCAATTTAATTAATGTTAAACGATATGATATAATATTGTCTATATGTATAATTGGCAAACATATGTAAACAGTAAAATCATCCTCTATATATTACGAATGTCTAGTATGTCATGCTGTTGATGTGCCTATAAATAAATAAATAAAACTCAGATTAAAACAAAAAGGGTAGATACGGCACTAGCCTCACAAAAGTGATCCGCACCAATTGTGGTCCACGACCCTAATCGCTTTAGTCACAACTTGACATGCAAACGACGTACATGTGAACGCCAAAAAGAAATATTGCTAATATTTTGTGTTTATCTGATAAAACAATCCCAAAGTGTGTTTTTAAAAAGAGCTCAAATTGCTCAAGAACTAAAAATAAAACCCACGGCATTACTTTTCATTCGTTAGTACTATAAAATATATTTTTTCATAAAAATTGTTGTTTATTTTGAATCTTATTCGGTAGTGACGTCGAGTACTGGTCGCCTGATTGGTCGGTAGTGCAGTGACGCGGATCTCGCCGTCTCGTTTGCGCTGCCGTTGAAACTTAACGTGCTGTTTCGTTCGGGTCGGTAATGCAGTGACGCGGATCTCGCCGTCCCGTCCGCGCTGCCGTGGGATCAGTTTTTGTTCGATGCAAGTATGAGCGTACCGTATCTACCCTTTTTGTTTTAATCTAAGTAAATAAATATAACGAAAGAAAAGTATATAAAGTCACCTTGTATCGGGTGCGTCGATCGAGTGCGACGCGGTTGATGCTGCAGGTGGAGGAGGGCGCGGATGGAGCTGGCGCCGGGCGCGGCGGCTGCTTGAGCAGGTCGGGGCGCTCCAGCTCCGGCCCGCCGAACTCGTGCAGCTGCTGCAGCCAGCACGACAACATCGTCTCCATGCCCTCGCCCACGCGCCGCAGCTCGTCCGCCGGGAACGAGAACTCCGCGGCCGTGAGCACGGCGTCCCCGCGTCGCCGCCGCCGCCGCCGCCGCGTCGCCGCCCAGCGAGACCCGAGCGCTAGCGCCACCGCCCCCGCTGCGGCTAAACCTATACTCCACACCAAAACCGGCACCGAAACTCCGGAGCCGGCCACCTCCTCTCGCTCCTCACTCAGCCGCTCGAAACTGTGCGTGGAGTTCGTCACCTCCACGATCGCAGACCATTCCTCCATATCCTCGTCCGGTTTCGAGGTGGCTGTTAAAATGGCGATTCTGCTCCAACCTGTTCCTGCGCTGTTCGCTTTATGTACTCTTTCGTATAAGGAAAACGCTTTACTCGCTTTCGTGTAAGTTCCAGTCTTTTCTACGCTCTGTTGGACGGCGTCGAGGATTTCGTCGTAAGCTTCCTGCGCGAGTGACCGGCTCGGGTGTGGGACTTCGAGACGTCGTTGACTGAGAAACAAAATTCGATGTTGCAGGGTGTCGTCGAGTTGAGAAGCGAGGACTTCCAGGGCTTTCAGTTCCGGGGAGGATATCCCCTCAATGATCGCTTCGCGCTTCGGCCGCTGCGAGGACTCATCCTTGGACTCTTTGGCGGTGCTCGGTTGTTTTCTTTTCCCCAGCTTGTACATGAGATACGAATCACCCCGCATCGGATCGGAGACAGTATCTGTTTTTATCGTGTTTACGTTGTTTTCGCCCCGAAAAACAGGCTTCGAGGTCATAGATGGCGACGTTTCGACTCGGTAACGAGCCCTCTTATTGCGATAGGGAGCCGCGACGTTGTTTACGGACGAGAAGGTCGGCAGCGGCGTCGGGAAACTTTTCTTATATGATTTCGGATAAAATAACGATAAATTTGAGTTCGCCGGTCGGGCCGTCGACGGGACTCGCGATAAGTTCGTTTGGTAAGGCAAGGTTCCTACGTGTAGAGTGATATTGCTTTGTGTGAAGGCTTGCGGCGGCTCGTCGACGTGCAGCAGAAGCAGCGTGGGCCGTGCCCCGACCGCGCCCCATCCGTCCCCCGGGCCCCAGGCTCCCCCCGGGCCCCAGGCTCCCGGCGGGCCCCAAGCTCCCCGCGGGCCCGCGGCCGTCCCGACGCCCCGCAGCGACGCGCACGTCACCACCGCTGATGACAAACCGTACAAGCATGGACAATAGAGTAGCTGTTTATGATTTTGCTTTACCTTGACTTTCGATAATGAACAAAAAATATTATTAATATGTACCTAGAGTTAGGTTTACGAAAATAAAAGTTGGAAATTGTGAAGTAATTTTATGGTAACGGGACGATACACTCTGTGGTTACGTTTGTCGCCCAGACAGTCGAAAAGTGGCCGCCTCTCGTTTCAGTCCTTGTACAAACTTTCACGAATACCTACCAAACAAGGCTCAAGTTTCAAGGGGCAATAGAGCCGGCGGCTACGATAGAATATAAGGCAATGTTATTTATCGGTCGCCAGTGTAAATAATTCTGTCCTGACTTTGTTTTTTGTTCGCCAATTGATGGAGACGTTATACCCGTGTTACGTTGTTTAATAAACATTGTTCTACAGAAAATAAGAAAGTTTCTTTTGTCTTGAGAAATGAAAAGGAAAAAATATTTAGTATACAGGTCATGGTTTTAGTTTGGTTAATCGAGACGGCGACATTTGGCGACGAGGAATGGCAAAGCTCTGTTTATTCCAAATTTTGTATCATTTATATTTTCATTTAAAGAGAATCATCAAATTACTAATCGAAATTTACGCTCATTTTATAAAAATAAGCTCCATAGGCCTGCTACAAAATTGTCTTTAGCATCTAAAACACTTTTATTATGTGCATTAAAATTTACAATAAATTACCAGGCAAGTACAAAGAACTAAAACTTTTTAAATTAAAAAAAATACTTAAGGATTGGCTTAGCCAAAAATATTTTTATAGTATCCAAGAGTATTTAGAATACAAGTAGAAATATTCAAATGGTTCCTATACGTACAATATAAATGTGTATACACCTGAAAAAGTAGGATCAAATGGCACTGTACATTAGCATTAAGACCTGTATTTTCATGTTACCTTGTTCCATACACAATAAAGATTTATTATTTTCATTAGTCAAGTAGTTTAGCTCAGTTTGTACAGATATAGTTAGATGACGAGCGTAAATCACTCGTTAGCAATTAAGTTAGGTGTGCTAAGTATAAAAGAATCCCACATAACAAGCTGTCAGCATCTGCCAGCGCCCAGTTATGCAAAATGCATTTTCCCGACAGTAAAACGAAAGAAAAATAAATTTATTTTGATTAAGAAAGCTTTCAATATATATTCATGTGTAGAGATGTCGAAATTACGAGCAAATTACAGATGACAAAGTACCAAGTATTAGGAATTTAGTTCTGAGAAAAGCAAAGTTCATACTACAAATTATGTTATACTTAGTGCCATGCCGTAAGTTATCCGTCCAAGGTCTCCCGTTCGTAGATAAATTAATCAAGCACAATGCTTTTACGACTTTCACGAATGCTTGTTGAGCATATAAAACGAATGAATATTTTTATTTTCGTTTTCATTTATTTGACATGGAGGTATTCTGAGCAGAGTAGGAGAGATATTTTTATTATGAATGGGAGTGATTGCCTTTATGGAATGTCGTAATTTCTGGGCTAAGAAATATAATAGAACAATTGTATAATACGTTATTTTTTACTTATTGCAAATGAAACTTATGGCGTTGAATAATTTTGGACTGACATCCTTTGGAGGATTAAAATGAAATTGAATGTTTACACAATAATTCGGCATTTTTTCGGATTTTTAGCGAGTGTACTCGGAAAAATTGTAAGTTTCGTTTTTTCATCATCATCATCATCATCAGCCTGTTAATATCCCCACTGCTGGGGCACAGGCCTTCCCTATGGATGAATTAGGGAGATTGGGGCATGACCCACCACGCGGGCCCAGTGCGGATTGGTGGGTGCTAACGACTGCAGATGCAGCCGGGACCAACGGCTTAACGTGCCTTCCGAAGCACGGAGGAGCTCGAGATAGTAAATTTTTTTTGGTCACCCATCCAATGACCGACCACTGCGAAAGTTGCTTAACTTCAACGATCGCAGCCGAACGCGCTTACCACTTGCGCCATCGACCTCCTTTCGTTTTTTAACTACAGTATTTAAAATATGTGTTACTAATTACTATCGGCACGAAAAAGCGCACGTTATGGAAATAAATATGATAACGTTGTGTTGATATTACATAGCGAGCGAGGAGCGAGCGTTCGGCTGCGATCGTTGAAGTGAAGCAACTTTCGCAGTGGTCGGTCATTGGATGGGTGACCAAAAATTTACTATCTCGAGCTCCTCCCTGCTTCGGAAGGCACGTTAAGCTGTTGGTCCTGGCTGCATCTACAGTCGTTAGCACCTACCAATCCGCACTGGGCCCGCATGGTGGGTCATAGCCCAAAACTCCCTATTCCATTCGTAGGGAAGGCCTGTGCCCCAGCAGTGGGGACATTAATAGGCTGATGATGATGATGATGATGTGACATAATTTTCAAGAAAAAGAAAAGTTTCAAAGAAAATAAATACTGGACCCATTTCTTGCGTGCGTTGCTGGTTGCTGCGCTTAGTCACATGAGTTCTAATTTTTTTATGAATTCCCGCTCACACTTGTGCTTGCCGGTCTCTACCGGTAAGGACAAGTGTATCCCTGAACAACTGAGAACACCGAGAGCGCTGTTCTCGGTTGTTCAGGGACTTTTTGTGCGCGGTACTTTTAATCCGTTGTGTATGTTACTCGATGCAGTTGTAACCGATCTAGCTTGACGCAAAGATATCTTTGTTTTGACGAAGAAAAATACCTCGGACATAAGTCCTTAGTCCGCGCAGGTTATAATAGTATCTGTATATTATTAATGGACTACTAGTCGAAATCACGCACCGGTTCCATATAAACTTGTAGGTATGCAAATAATTTATTCATCACAGGAATCGAATCTGCATGCAAGCATTTTTATATTGCTTAATTTTTACCGACGAAGAAAAGGGGAGGATTTACAGATGAATCTGATTTAGATAATTCTTTTTAATTAGAGAGGTTAAACCCCGATGTTTGCCCATATAAATTTGGAAAATAGTCTAACACTAAAGGTAGAATAACAGAGAATTATTGATTGTTCATTAACTGATTTTAATGTATGAAACACGTATAACTTTTTACAGAGAATCTGATATTCATAATTTTTTTTAAGTTAGGGTAAACCTCGATTGTTACTCCTAGAAAATTTTTGAAAATCCTACTATCCTACCCTAAAGGTGAGAAAATAGGGGTGTTTGTTAATTTCTAATTGGTTCCTAAGAAAAAGGGTTTTGACAGACGGATAAGTGATTTAACAAAAAAGAGATCCTATCAGGGTTTTTCTTCGTTTCTTTAGAAGCAAGAAACTGTAAAAGTGTATGCATAGTTACATAATTGTGCTCATCATGACCATTAGAAGCGATCGCGATCATAAGAGGAAATCGTTGTTAGGACATCGAGTTACGTTAATCTATATATATTAAACTCAAATGTGACTGACTGACATAGTGATCTATCAACGCACAGCCCAAACCACTGGACGGATCGGGCTGAAATTTGGCATGCAGGTAGATGTTATAATGTAGGCATCCGCTAAGAAAGGATTTTGATCAATTCCACCCCCAAGGGGGAAAAATAGGGAATGAAAGTTTGTATGAAATTTTGTCAATTTTACACCGATCGGGCTGAGACTTTGCATACAAGTATAAGAAGAATCATAGATGAATGTCATTCTGTATAATACAAGCCTGAGAACAAAAACTGTAGTGTTCACTTCAGCTCTACACCGAAGCGAAGCGAGGGCGGGCCGCTTGTTTGACAATAAAACGAGAAGCTGTCATCGAGTGCGGTTTACCTTGCGGATGGTTTGAGAGTTCATCGGTGGAGATCTTCCCGGTGCGGACGGAGATGCCCGCCGCGGCGAGACTCCTGCGCACGTCGCGAAGCGCGGCCGCGCACTCGGAGTGGTCGGGCGCGGCCAGCAGTAGCACGCGGCGCCAGCGGAGCCGCTCCGCTAGCCACGCTACGGACGCCGCGCGCAGCCTCGATCCCGCGCAGGCGCGTACCCGCCCCGCTCCCCCCTCGCCCCCCGCTCCCCCCGCTCCCCCCGCTCCCCCCGCTCCCCCCGCGCCCCCCGCTTGCCCCGCACGCAGCGCCCGCGCCGCCGCCTCCAGCGCGTCGCACACGCTGCCCTCCGCCCACCCCGCCACCAGCACCGGCGCGCCGCCACCCAGCGACGACACCATCGCCCGCATCACAGATGACCTCCATTTCGACCCGCACGTTTCTAAGATACGATGTTTCAAAGTGAGCTTCGTCGGGGCAAGCTCTCTCGAGCTTAAAAATGGAGCTGGTGTAATTTCAAAGTGGGAATTAGAAGCGGCTTCGATTCTTAGATTAAAACAAAAAGGGTAGATGCGGCACTAGCCTCACAAAAGTGATCCGCACCAATTGTGGTCCACGACCCGAATCGCTTTAGTCACAACTTGCCATGCAAACGACGTACATGTGAACGCCAAAAAGAAACATTGCTAATATTTTGTGTTTATATGATAAAACAATGCCTAAGTGTGTTTTTAAAAAGTGCTCAAATTGCTCAAGAACTAAAAATAAAACCCACGGCATCACTTTTCATTCGTAAGTACTATAAAATATATTTTTTCATAAAAATTGCTGTTTGTTTTGAATCTTATTCGGTAGTGACGTCGAGTACTGGTCGCGTGATTGGTCGGTGGCGCAGTGACGCGGCTCTCGCCGTCTCGTTCGCGCTGCCGTTGAAACTTAACGTGCTGTTTCGTTCGGGTCGGTAATGCAGTGTCGCGGATCTCGCCGTCCCGTTCGCGCTGCCGTGGGATCAGTTTTTGTTTGATGCAAGTATGAGCCTATGAGCGTACCGTATCTACCCTTTTTGTTTCAATCTAAGGTTCGATTATGTAAAAGGAACGAAAACGGACTCACCTTCGTAGCTCAGAATTTGGAACCGATTGTGTAGAACGTGCGCGCGGCCTGTGCTAGCAGCGTGGAGGCGCAACCGGGTCTCGTCAAAAGCGCTGGGGTCGTTCGCGATGCAGGCGGCGCGCAGGACTAGCAAAGCGGGTTCAGCGGCGGGCTCTTGCGTAGGAGTGGTAGCGGCAGCAGAGGCAGCAGAGGCAGCGACAGCGACGGTGGCAGCTAGCGCGAGCAGTGCCGGCAGCGCGCGCATGACGCGGCGCCGCTCAGGTGACGTCCACGTCCGTCATGCCGCCGGTCCCGGCGCGCTCGGCTGCACCGATTACGTTCGCGGCCGACTGCCCGAGATCAAACGGCCGGCCGTCCTCGCACCCGTCTGCGCCTGTTACGTGAATACTCCGATCGATCAGTAAGACGTACATGTAAGATCGAATCGGCTTACGAGTCTTCTACATTGAAGAATTATATAGTTTGACTCGATGGCGCAAGTGGTTAGCGCGTTCGGCTGCGATCGTTGAAATTAAGCAACTTTCGCAGTGGTCGGTCTCGAGGTCCTCCGTGCTTCGGAAGGCACGTTAAGCCGTTGGTCCCGGCTGCATTTGCAGTCGTTAGCACCCACCAATCCGTACTGGGCCCGCGTGGTGGGTCATGGCCCAATCTCCCTATTCCATCCATAGGGAAGGCCTGTGCCTTAGCAGTGGGGACATTAATAGGCTGATGATGATGATGATACTTTAACTAGCTGTCCCAGCGAACTTCGTACCGCCATTAAAAAATAGGGGTTGGTGGTAGAAGGGTGAAAATTTAGGGTTATATGTATTTACTAATGCTGTATCATAAAAAACAAAAAAAAAACTAAAATTGGGATGAAAAATAGATGTTGTCCGATTCTCAGACCTACCCAATATGCACACAAAATTTCATGAGAATCGGGAAAGCCGTTTCGGAGGAGTTTAACCACAAACACCGAGAGACACTAGAATCTCTTATCTATTAGACAAGTCCGTCCGTCCGTCCGTCCGTGGTGCTGTTTCAGCGGCCAAACCGTAAGAGATAGATAAAGAGAATGTTTAAGTTATAAGTTAAGAATAGTCTGATAAGACTACAAACCGGATTTGAGTAACGTAGCACTTCCGGTTTTCGAGAAATAACGTGATTTCTATTTCAAACGAAACCACACGAAATCTCCGAAGTTCTCAATTAATTAAATACATTTTTTTTTGTGAACATTTGGTTCACTGGTTTGCTAGTTTTATATATTAGATATTCTCTCGAGGTTTCTAGATTATTACCCTATTAAGATACTAGTTCGTTATTACCTAGGCTAATATAGATTTCCAGAATGTTTTACTCATCATTTGGATAACATATATCTAATGTATGTATAAGCCTATTTAAAAACTTAAAAATCTATCACTAAAACTATCCATTGCATCTGGACCGTTGTCCTAGACCTCTGATCTTAGTCTTAACCAAGGCCAAACGTAGAGATAGTGAGAAAATTACAGTAGAGAAAATTTTGTCTTTTAAGCACTTGTTACATTCTACGATCATATATAGGTAATTAATTAATTTTTGAAGTCATTATCCTATCCATTATTTTTTAACACAATGTAATTTGATAAAAGGTAGAAATCTGTTAAAAGCACGTGAGCTGAGAGAAAGCGCGGCGCTATGTAAAATGTATCTATTTTAATTTTGGAGTTTACTCCTTAAGAATCGATTTGCACATATAAGGGGCCCGGTATGAGAAAAATGTGAGGAGTGAAATCTATCGATGAATGACCTCGTTACGTTTTTACTGTCTACGCTGTAGCAGCCGTAGTGCTACTCCGTAGCACAGTATCGTAGCGTACCTTTATTTATGCACATCTGAAATTGACTATTGTAAAAGTTTAATGTAAAATATTTCGTCGATTAGTTATAATAAATGTGTTTGAAATGAATAAATATATATTATTTTCATTAATTTGTTAATTTACCCTTTCATACAGTATCAATCTTTTTTAAGTTAAATAAACTCTTTTTGCGTCTGGTTAGACTATCGAACTTAAGGAGTAAACTCCAGTCGTGCGTCAGAACTGACACACACAATTTTTTTGTTTAACCCTGTATATAAATGAGTTTAATATCAGTTATTCTTATATAAGACATAGTTTTACCGAAACCACTAAGTGTTCAAGTTCATGTAGTCCTTTATTAAGTAAAAGATGGCGCTGAAGCAATCTTAATCGCACAATATTTGTTTCCCTAGTTTACCCTTAATAATAACGTTAGTTCATTATTTGGCTAATAGATGTCATTAGAAGTTCTCGTAATCGCGGTAACGATTACTACAGTTTGTATAAATATAAGTAAGACAGAGGAGGTCCGGCGCACACTGGCTTAGCATTAGGCAGACACCGCACCCGTACGATAAGAGTGTGAAGACCTGGTCTACACACGACGCGCTATACCAGGTACAGGTACGTACCTGGGCGTTGTTCCCCGCCCCCCACGACAACGGCTAACTAGAGCCGAGATCCGAGTCTCAGAGACGCCCTCTAGTTGAGCCGACCCCCTCAGGTTCCAGTGGTCTGGAGGCTCCAGACGGAGAGGAGACTCCCTCGGTGGGGAGACGCCATCCAACTGGAATACCTCCAGAGGCACTCGCCAAATCTCGGCTTGAGGTCCCCTTAGGATCTCGCCGTCCCCAAACCCGGTGATGCTGTAAAGGTCATCTGCGACCAATAGCATACACACTCAAAAAAAAAAAGGTCCGGCGTTACAAGCTTCATCTAGGGATGATTACTTCAGATGAGTCTTGTAACCCTTTCGGCCATAAGCATGAACTACGGGTGTGTGTAAGCCTGTCTGACATAACCTTGTAGCCGGTTGTAGGATATCCATTAGGATTTCACCTAGGGATGGCGATTCTTTCCGAAAAAAATCGATTTTTAAATCGATTCAAATCGTGACCTAATGATTCGATCCACAAAAAAATCGGGGACATTACGATCGATTTCTGAAAAATGGACCTTTTTTAAAGTTTTTGTTTATAATGTATTAGAAGTCTATTTTATTAAAAATAAGATACATATTACAATTTAACGATCTCTTATCAGTAAAATCAGGTGATTCGATGATAAAAAATATTTTTATTCAGAGATTACCAACAAACGTTATTTTTTTTATTAAAAAGGGGAGAAGGAATCCAAACATTCGCTGAAACGTTTTTTTTTTATAATTTACCCTTTTACCGGCAGCACTCTTATAACGGGTACATTCAAATAATTGTAAATACTTTTTTGGTTTATACCAAATAAATAAAATAAAATCGAATGTCGATTTTCAAGGGCGAAATATCGATTCGGTGAATCAATTCTGTACTACATATCGATTAAAAAAAACGATCTTTTTGGCTCAAAAAATCGATTCTTCGATTAATCGATCTCAGATCGCTATCCCTATTTCACACCCGCTCCCCCGCCTGAGAGGACACAAAAAAAGATAATATTAAGGATTCAGTACTACATCCGATTCTGGATGATTTACTGGAGTTAGTTCCCTGCAAACAGAAGTGCGATGATTCAAGCGCCCTTTGGCGGCAAAGGCAGGGGAAACATTTTACCAGTGCATTGTAAATAGTGGTTTATTTGAGTGCCTTAGAAACTGTAAGTGTAAGCGAGTGTACATAAAATGGAAGATTTTCAAGATTTATTGACTTAGTTATATTAAGTAGGTTTAGGAGTTGAATATTAAAGAAAAAACGACGGAACGGGTAGTCCATGCTCGATTTCCGTCCGGCGTCTGTCTTTTAAATTTCATAGTTTATTTCGTAGATCAAGTTGTCATTTAAGTTGAGCTTTTTTAATGTTTTGTAAAAATGGAATTACTTTTAAAGAATCTGATAGTAGAGCCATTTGAGATTAAGAGAAGCTTGGTTAATTTTATTAAATCTCCGAAAAGAAGTAGGGTAACTTCAACTATTTTTAGTCTTTTTCTAGAAAATTTAGAAAAAGACTACTTCTTATTTAGAGAAAATAATGTTGTTACTCCAAATGTTGTCTTCTAGGGAAATGACTGAGTCAAGTTTTATAGGACTAATCAACTACCGAGTACTGAGTTTGACTTTATGATTCTGAGTCTGATTTGAACTGATGTTCGAACTGTGTAAAATGAAAATGAAGTCATTTATTCAGTCTAAGCACTTGTGAAGGTCAAGAAGCTACGCCATCGGTTCGCAAAACTACGGCGGGAGACCTTGTACTGAGAAGAACCGGCAAGAAACTCAGCAAGGGCTGTTTTTTTCTCCCTCTATTGTTATATACAGAGTCGTCAAGTTGAAAAATGACTTCAGAGATACGTCTGAAGTCAACTTCCATTACATCATTTAGAATATAAATATATAGTTACAATAAAATTTATATTTACACATTACATTTGTGCAAAAAATCTATGATAATTGAAAGGATTTTACGTGTCTCAACTAAAAATAATTTCTCTTTCATGAATTTAATTACTAGTAGATGGTAATATTACCAAAAATATTATGGTAGTAATGAATACAGCTGATTCAATTATATTTTTTTTATTTTTATTTGTGAAATGAAGGAGAGGTTTTCTCTCCTTCAAATACCTTTACAACTAATTCAAACTCCTATTGTTATCGTAATGTTGTTGATTTTCTTCACGACCCGTGCTGAACGTAACCCTGACATATTTAATCAAAGGTCACATTTTCACAGACCGGGTGACCTATATTTCCAAAAAGGCAACTTAGCGTGTCAGATAATAATGGTATCATCGCACCTGCTTTCCCTTAAATAACCGAAAGTTTAAAACACATAGTGACGTATCTCTTTTAAAAAACCTTTACACATTTGTGATTTTATTTTTGGTTACAGTTTTGTGTAAAAGCGGGAGATTCGCAGGGATCGGCACACTTAACTGTTTTCTATGTAATTGAGGTAGCACGCTTTCACGCAACGACGAGGCGAGCGGAGGAAAATAAACAACACAGTGCGCGTGTGATGGGGTGTGATGGCGCGGCGCGAGTGTGAGCGGGCGCGTGGGGCGACGCGCGCCCAGTGTATGCCGTCACTGCTGCCGCCGCCGATCAGTGTTACCAACCCTTACCAAAATTTTACCCTAAGTATTTTTTTTAATTCCCCTAAAATCCCCTAAATATAGAAACTTATATGTACCTACTTATCTTATTACCTAAATTCATTCGTTGTTCATAAATTAAAACGTTACATATTTAGTTACAGT